ATAACAAAATTTTAAAAATATAAACACTTCATGGTTTTTGTTTTTTCTTTTTTTCCCATCATCTCACATTCTTTATTTCCTATTATCTTTCAACTAGTAGTACACTTTTATCTGACTATCCATTCTCTCTCGGTCTCCATCAACACCATTGTCATTTGTGTGTTGTTAAAAAGAGTTGGAGAATATTGTGATGATATAGATAGCGAAATTCATTTAGGGCATGGTTATTTTTAGAGGTAGAATAAAAGAGATTTATAGTAAAGAAATTAATAGTGAAAAATTGTTAAATTATTTTTATATAATTTTTACTTAACAAAAAATATAAAAAATTAAATATTAATATTTTTTTTTAAAAAAAAAACCTAACATATAAAAAATAAATAATTTTTTTTCTGATACGCCGAATTATTTTTCTAATCCAAGTCCTGAAAATCCATCCAAATCTCTTTAAGAAAGCCTATCCTAATTCAGAACTCACCGTCAAATCCCACTCTATCTTTCAAAGAAACACAATCTCAATCCCCTTCTAACTCTCCAGACAAACGGGTCCTCCGGTCCAAACAAACATAGCCAAAGTCAACCGACACATGCATCTCTGCATAGAGTAATCCTTCTCTTCCTCTTTTTCTCCCTCTCCCTCTCCCTCTCTCCCTGCCACAATTTCTAAGCCCTAACCTTTTTTTTTGGCAGCGCAGCACCGTCGACTACAACAGCATCCCTCGACCTCGATAGCCAGGCAAGTCTCTCTCTCTCTCTCCTTCTCTCTCTCTCTCTCTCTCTCTCATTGTGTGTCTCCTCCAATTTTGTGTTTGTCTCTGGTTCTGTTATCCAGCAGATGTTGGTAAATTTACTGCTTGTTTGGAAAGAATTTTTAAGTTGAGAATGATTTCGAGGGTTCTTCTATGTATATATATATATATATTATTTTTTTCTTTCTGTTTTCATGCCAATAAATATTTTGACCAAGAAATATATATCTAATTGGGACGAGGTTTGCTAGCACTAGAAACACTTGCAATGGAATTTTCTCTCTCTCTCTCTCTATGTATATATATCAATTTTTATATGTTGCATTAGACATCAAATAGGGGAGACAAAGTGCTCTCTAACTTTATTAATTATTTCTATGCATAAAAATTAAAGCATTAATACAATATATATAAGAACATAGACTACCAAATTAAGCATTTTTTTGATTATATATGAACTGTTTATTCGTTTGTTGGTGTGTTCCAATTACACTCTTACGGTCATCTGATAGCGAATTTTCTCTCTCTCTCTCTCTCTCTCTATGTATATATATCAATTTTTATATGTTGCATTAGACATCAAATAGGGGAGACAAAGAGCTCTCTAACTTTATTAATTATTTCTATGCATAAAAATTAAAGCATTAATACAATATATATAAGAACATAGACTACCAAATTAAGCATTTTTTTGATTATATATGAACTGTTTATTCGTTTGTTGGTGTGTTCCAATTACACTCTTACGGTCATCTGATAGCATTGCCAAGCAAAAATAGTCCTTTATTTGATTGAGATCTATTCGCTACTTCGAATGACCCCTCAGGCTTAATAACCAAATCAGCTACCCTATTAGGCCGACTTGCTTTGAAGTGAAAGGTGATTGTAGGAAGATTTACATAGCCTGTTGCTTTGTCTCACTCACAGCACTAACCCAATTTTAATGGATTTAAATAGTGCCTCTTTAGGTACAACTTTGAGTTCTCCTCTATAACATCATAGGTAGGTTTCACAATATGAGAATTTCTCATACTAGAGTCTATTATGCACCCACCCACAGTGCCATTGCTTCTCAATCCAAACACTGCTTCATCTATATCTTTTCTCATTAAAGCTAATGCCTTGCAATTGTGAGTAGTAAGCTGCCTTGTTGTTGTTACGTAGCAAACGTGTCATGGTTGGATGTTGTCTTTTTAGTAAATCTCCATTAAACTTGAGAAAACTCTTTGGCTTAAGAGAGGTAGTGGATTGGTTTACCACTGGAAGGTAGTGTGAGAGTACTTCATAGCTCATATAACCAATCTCGAGCACGAAAGAATCACGACCCCATCCCAGACCTATCACTCCATCTGCTCGATTCTTGTCACATCCATAACTCATGCTATTACGTCTAATCTAAAAATTATATTTCGAGCATTAACTATTCTACTAGTGTTGGAACTTAATGAGAAATTTTCTTTGCAAGAATTCCTAATGTGGTGTTGTTTGCAAAGCGAACAATGTAGGCACAATACACCCTGTTGCATTGTTTTGGCACACAGAGTGAGTCTTTGCAAACGTTGGGGCGGAATTTTTTGGAGGTGTTCTTAGAGAAATGCTTTGGTGTTTGTTTGGAGCACTTTGTACAACCTTTGCACTGGGTTCATAGAAAATTGTTGGTAGCATTCATTTCCCACTTCATTTTGAAGGGTGGGAAATTGTTTCTAAAGAGTTGGAGACCAAATCTAAGAGCTCTAAACACTACACCCCCTTGAATCCAAACACGTCCAACTTTTCCACCTTTCTCTTCATACATACACCACCTATTCAAGAGCCTTTTGGGTGCTAAGAAGAGAGTTTGAGAATCAAAGAGTTCATCCTTTCTTCCATAGGTAGACTTTTAAACTTTTCTCATCTATTTTTCCCATCTTTCTCTCTTACCAAACACTATCTTTTCAAAACTTTCTTGTACTTTCATGTAATTTAGCTTGTGTAAGTTGAGGGCTTAGCCTCTCTATTTTTTTGTTATCTAGATCAAATATAGACTTGTGAAGAGGATTCTATATCTTACTTTCATGTTAAGTTGCTAGCTTCTTCATTTTCTAGAAGCTATAAGAGCTTCCTCATTAAAAGTGTTGAAAACTCTACTCAATCCATTTTTGAACATGGAAATGGATGTTGCATCCATATTCCGTGAGTAAGAAGATGAGTTTTCAACTACTTTTGAAAACTCTATAAAACTTCCGCCTAGAAATCCTACTTAGAAATGGTGGCAATCTACTCTCTTTAATTAATAGCATCAAGGAAGCACGGGTGCGGGTACATAATTATGGTTAAAGGATCCAACCTACAAATTAAAATTAAATATCAAAACTAAAAAGAGAACTACTCATTTTCCTATAATTTAAAACCATTAAGCGTTAAAAATAATATTTGTGAAATCTTCCATTTTGACCTGTTATGCACTGCTATGTTACACGGACTCTTTGGAATTTCGAAGGTACCCGTGTCGACACAACACGACACGACACGGGTACGGGTGCGGGATACGGCCGGGATACGGCTCCTTAGAAATGGATACGGCAGAAGAATCGAAAGAGAAGAGAGCAAGGAGAGAACCTGGCCTTCGACTTCAATTGGTTGCAAAGCATCGATCGATCTGCGAAGTTGATCTGCGAAGTCAATGTATTGTGCCCCGTCGTCTTCCCCTTTGATCTTGATCTCAGACTCTCTTCGTCGCTTGATCTGCGAAGTCTCTTCGTCACTCTCTCTCTCTCTCTCATTTCTTTTTTGATCAGTCTCTCTCTGACTTTTCTTTTTAATATAATTTGAATTATATATAATATAAGTTATATTAATATAATATTATTCATATTATATAATATTATTTATTCAAAAAAATATTATATAATATAATGTCATAAATAACATAACTTTTATGTCTAAAATTAAAACAATTTATTTTATCATATATAATATAATTTATTTTATGTCTAAAATAATGTTTATAATTTTTATTTATTATTTATTTGTTATTTTTTTAATAAAATTTGTTATTCCTTAAACTTTTTAAACTCATCTTCATATAATAAATATATTTAAAAATAACTATTTAACGTATTTCTGTACTCGTATCCTAATTTGGATCCGTATCCACGTATCCTTAATTTTTAATTTTAAAGTGTCTGACCTTTAGATACACACTCCGTACCCGATACCCGCACCCGAGTCCGTGTAACGTAGATGCACTGTGAATTTGTTATCATAATTTATTTTTAAAATCTATCTTTTTGCTCATCAATTTGCTATTTTTATAGGGTGAGACCAAAGAAATAACAGGAGACCAAAGAAAGATTTAAAGTTAATTGCCAAAAGTAAAGGAAAAAAAATTCTCAATTGAGGCAGGTTGCAATTGCAATTTGCATAATACATAAAATTGCATCATTTCCAACCACTACTAATCAACTAATACCGTATCAATTTTTAATGTTTTGTGCATAAACTTTAAAAGTTTGTTATGATTAAAGATTTTATAAAGAAAATCTTGGAGGATTTGAAGTAAAAGCATAATGCATAGTCATACACATAACTGCCCTTTATAGGCTTTGATATTTTTTTTGTTCAAATTGCTTTTTAAAAAAATCATTTGCTGATATGCTTATACAATTCATACAAATAGACAGAACAACAGAGAAACATCAAAATTGCTGATCTGCAAGGGCACTAAAAAAATAAAAAATAAATAAATTGCTAATCTGCAAGCTATGAAGCACGGACACTGACACGGACACGGACACGGATACGGACACGGGACACGGCAATTTCCAAAAAATGGAGACACGGACACGGCAGGGGACACGGCGTAAATAAATTGCTAATCTGCAAGGGCACAAAAAAAAAAAAAGGCCCCAGCGTACCCATGGCGTACCCACGCCGTACCCGAATGAACCAAACGTACCGGGCCCCCTGTTGTTGTACTTGGTACGCGTACCCATGGCATACCCACGCCGTAGCCAAATGAACCAAACGTACCGGACCCCTTTTTGCCGTACCCAGTACGCATGCAGCTATACCGGTACGCATACCCGCACCCGCACCTGGTAAGTACTCGGTACTCGTATGGCACTATTTTTGGAGTACCTGTGCTTCATAGAATAGCATGGATTTGGATATTAATTTACCCTTATTCACGAAGTGTTGAATGTAGGTTTCCATCTATTTCTTTGTTTAATTTATAGTTTTCATTTTCCTTTACTCTCTCTATTTTCTTAGAAGCTCTACAAAGCGTTCAACATCTCTATAAAGATTTCACTAGCTCTATAAAGCTTCCCCCTAGAAATGGTGGCAATCTACTCCAATTAATAGCATGGATTTGGGTATTAATTTATCCTTATTCACAAAGAAATGAATGTAAGTTTCTATTTATTTCTTTGGCTTGACTTTTTCTAGCTTCAACTTCCATACTTGTTAGATTTTTCATTTAATAGCTTTTGTACATATCATATAGCATCTCTTGTTGTTGAATGATGGGTGAAGCGTATCTACATCTTCCTTGAATATCCTCATGATAGGTAGGAGTAGAAAGGATGATCATTTGGAAATGCTTTGTTTACTCTGTTTTGGCTCTGCTGCACAAAAACAGGTATTTCTAGATTTTCTGTACGGGCGGCCCAATAAATTGTATGGCCAATAGTTATTTCATACGGTCTAACCATTTATTTGAACAGCCAAATGGTGTTTCTAGGCAAAATAGAGCAACTCCCTAGTAGCAAACAGAGCAATTTTTGACAGATGATCTCCTAGGCACTTACAGATTCTTTCATTTATATTTTTTTATGATTTGTTAGATTCAACTTTTATTTAGTTGAATAGAGTTGCTTCTTGTAATAATTTCCAACCCTATTTCTTTCTGTTTCTTTCATTATAGTTGCTTGTTGTAATAATCTCCAACCCCACGTCTTTTTATTCCTTTCATTGTAAAGGTTTGATGAAATAACTTCCGACCTCTATTTATTTCTATCCCTTTCTATGTATGTCTTCTGTGGGTAATAGAGATTAGAGGTGATCGGTCGTTGACCTTTGGGAAGATGGTGGGCACTTCAATGGCCTGAGATCACTGGAGGTGGAAGAGGAGAAGACCAAGGCAGGCTCAGAGAGGAAAGGGGTGGCAGTGAGAGACCTTTTACACTTAGTGTATGTTATGTGATTTTTGTTGCTCTTATTGTGTTGCTATGGCTGCACTTATGATGCAGTTATATAGACTCCAGGAGTATTGGAGCCCAAGCAACCTCCAGACAAGTGGCAAGTTCTCCTCGACTCGACAGGAGGGTGGTACCAGTCCTACTAGCTGTGTCTTATGATTCCGGTCCTTGGGAAGGTTGCATCATAGCAGCTGCAGGTGTAGGTATGATATCTTGAGAGGAGTATCATATGTGCATCAGATGTAAGTGTAAGGTCAACATCCCTTTCTCTAGGCCAAGTCAAAATGGGAGTTGTCACTGCAGGGAGACAACTACATGACCTTGACGATCCTGAGGCCTTGGCCTCTAATCCACAATCTTGCCTTGTACCATACCATACCCTTATTTTAACCTGAAATTCTTTCGGCACCTCTACGACTGTATATGGGGATGTTGGGTGTTGGACCCAAGGGGATTCAAATAGCAGACCTTGGAATTGCCATGGAGGCATGGAGAGCATTCTGCGAAAAAACTCACACACCTGGCGACGGCGGTGAGTGGGGGTGGAGCTTGAAGCTATAGAGTTGGAGTTCGAAGCTATGTAGTTTGAACCTCTTCAGTTTGAAGCCTTCTTGTTCACTAGCAACCAAACAATGTAGTTTGAACCTCTCTAGTTTGAACCACTCTAAAAATTAATAATAAAACATTATTTTGGTGGAGAGCCAAAGGATTGGAGAGCACTCTAAAAATTAATAATAGAATATTAGAGAGCTATGAAATTGGAGAACTTTTAGAATAATAAAAGAGGTATGAACTTGGAGAGCTCTAAGAATAATAATAAAACATTGGAGAGCTATTAAATTGGGGAGCTTCTAAAAATAATAATAAAATATTGGAGAGTTATAATTTGGAGAGCTCTAAAAATAATAAGAGAGCTGTGAAATTGGAGAGCTCTAAGAATATTCAGAGAGCTGTGAACTTGGAGAGCACTAAGAATAATATAATAAAATATTGGAGAATTATAAAATTGGAGAGCTCTTAAAAATAATAATAAAATATTAGAGAACTATGAAATTGGAGAGCTCTAAGAATACTAAGAGAGCTATGAACTTGGAGAGCTCTAAGAATAATAATAAAAAAATATTGGAGAGCTATAAAATTGAAGAGCTCTTAAAAATAATAATGAAATATTGGAGAGCTATAAATTGGAGAGCTCTAAGAATACTAAGAGAGTTGCAAACTTGGAGAGTTCTAAGAATAATAAAAAAAAAAAATATTAGAGAGTTATTAGTTTGGAGAGCTCTAAAAATACTAAGAGAGTTGTGAACTTGGAGAGGTCTAAGAATAATAATAAAATGTGGAGAATTATAAAAGTGGAGAGCTCTTAAAAATAATAATAAAATATTAGAGAGTTATGAAATTGGAGAGCTCTAAGAATAATAATAATAAGTTATTGGAGAGCTATAAAATTGAAGAGCTCTTAAAAGTAATAATAAAATATTGGAGAGCTATTAATTGGAGAGCTCTAAGAATACTAAGAGAGCTGTGAACTTGGAGAGCTCCAAGAATAATAATAAAAAATGTTAATAAAATCGAAGAGATCTTAAAAATAATTATAAAATCTTAGAGAACTATGAATTGGAGAGCTCTAAGAATTAATAATAAAATATTGGAGAACTATAAAATTGGAGAGCTCTAAAAATAATAATAAAATATGAGAGAGTTATGAAATTGGAGAGCTCTAAGAATACTTGGAGAGCTCTAAGAATACTAAGAGAGCTGTGAACTTGGAGAGCTATAAAATTGAAGAGCTCTTAAAAATACTAATAAAATATGGGAGAGCTATAAATTGAAGAGCTCTAAGAATAATAAGAGAGCTGTGAAATTAGAGAGTTCTAAGAATAATAATAAAATATTAGAGAGTTATAAAATTGGAGAGCTGTAAAATTATTAGAGAGCTATGAAATTGGAGAGCTCTAAGAATAATATATTACAGAGCTGTCACCATGTGAACTCCCGCTACTTCGGACACTTAGCAAGTTTTATGGAAAATTGGGGGCCAGCTCTTGAGCTCTACTTTGTGGGAGAGTTATGAAATTGGAGAGCTCTAAAATAATAATAAAATATTAGAGAGCTATGAAATTGGAGAGCTCTTAAAAATAATAATAAAATATTGGAGAGCTCTGAAATTGGAGAGCTCTCACATGTGGGCTATCACCTAAGCTCTACTAGAGAGAGCTTTTCTTCGTCGACCTCTAATATCTTGGAGAGCCCTCAAAATAAATGATAATATGTTTGGAGCTATCATAATGTAGAGAGCCGAAAAATAATAATATATTTAGGGGTTGTTTGGGATGATCTAAATAAGTGTACTTTTTGACTTTTTATGAAATATGGGTTGAGTTTGGGATGGGTTTGAAGTGATGTGTTAGAGAGGTGATGTGACTTAAATAGAATAGTGACTTTTTGACTTTTTGTCTTTTTTCAAGTATGCCAAACTTGGCCTTAGAACTATACACATTGGTGAGCCAAGAGATTGGAGAGCTTTACTTTGGAGAGCCAAGAATTAGGAGCCAGCTAGAGTTCTACTTCATCGGTAATCTTGGAGAGCCATGAAATTGGAGAGCTCTACTTGGAGAGCCAAGGAATTGGAGAACTCTACTTTGTTACTTCACCATTTTGGAGACATAACCAAATTTTGATGAGAAAATTGGGAGCCGGCTTTACTAAGGAGAGCTCTACTTCATTGGCCTCCGCCATCTTGGAGAGCCAAGAAATTTGAGAGCTCTACTTTATTGGAGACTTCGCTGAAAAAAATTGATGAGCCGAAAAATTGATAAAAATGTATTTGGAGATAACTCTACCAAGGAGAGCTTTACCACCTTGGAGTTTTTCTCTACCTAGTAGAGCTATATTTACCACCTAGCTCTACCAATGAGAGCTCGACCATTACATGGGCTCTACTTTTGTTGGCTCTACTCCTTTGGAAACTTAGCCAAAAATTGATGAAATCATTTGGAGCTAGCTCTATCAAAGAGAGCTCTATCACCTTGAAAGATAGCTGCTACTGAGCATGGCATGGTGTGTTTCAGGAACTCTATCTTGGTTAGTTCTTCTGAGAATTCTACCTTAGAAGTCAAGGTAGCGAAGGCACTTGGGTGTCGATTTTTGGAGCGTGGAGCGTGCTTTATCCTTACTGTGTCGAATTCATCTATCAGCTTTCAGACAATGGTTTTGTATGAAGCCAAGGGGGCTTTTTGATAGCATAGTCTCCATTGGTCTGCTTGACCACCAGATTAGAGTCGTCTTTCATACATAGGAGACTTACTCCTAGATGGAGTGTTGCTATAAGCCCCAATATCAGAGCTTCATCCTTTGCCTCGTTGTTGGAACATCTAAACTTCAGTTTGTATGATAAATTGACTTAAATTGTGTTTGGAGAAGGACAATTCCAACTTCTTCTCCTTTGGAAGTAGATGATCTGTTGAAGCTCAAGCTCTGTTCTCCTTCGGTGTTCACTTCAATAGCATGGAATTCATCACCTGGAAGTTCATTTGAGGGTGGCTCATGTTTCTACTTAGGAAGTGAGCTAGGAGGTCAGTCGAACCTTGGCTCTTGATGGCCTTACGGGTTTTGCAAATGATATCATATTCTGCCACGAGAGAAGCCAGTGTGCCGGCCTATTGGAGAGGGCCGGTCTTGTAAGCTATGAGCATCCCTTCGATACACATTGACACCAGTTGATGTTCTTCCATCAGATCTTGAATGTCTACTGCTTTTTCTCTGAAGCGGCAAACATAAACCAAGATATCTTCTTCTTGTCATTGTGTCTCTCTTATGAGGTGGAGAGTAGTTAATCTCTTTTCGACATAAAAGAACTTGATATAAAACTTCTTCACCAAGTCTTCCCACGAAGAGATGGAACCAACGGTGAGGTTGGCATACTAAGAAAATGCTTGGTTTGTGACGAATTTGGAGAACTCTCTCATGCTGAGGTTTCGGTAAGCATCAAGAAAGCGCGAAATGTGCTCTCTAGTATTCCCTTTTCGTCTGTCAAAGCAGACAAACTTGGGTACAGTATTCCCTTTGTTTGTCTGAAGTAAACTGTATATGTGTTCTTTCACCACGTCCAATGTTAATGGTTGGGCTGAAAGAGTTTGGTCTGGCAGAAGAGTTGGAGAGTAAGTTGAAGCTACTGCGGTGGGAGTTCCGCCGATCGAACCAACTTGTGGTGGAGGTACTTGGCTTGGAGCCAAACTGAGGGAGCAGGGCGGATGTTTGTCTTCCTGTTTGGTTTTGCAAGTTGTTTGGTGGAGTGGGGCTAGCCTCTAAGCCATTCTGAGTTAATGGCAGCACGCCATTTTGTGATGAAGAAATGGGGTTAGATGATGATGGAAATGTAGGTGCCCTTCGTAAGGCTAGTAGGTCATCTATCAAGAGTTGTTGGTTCTGTTAGAGAGAGGTGACACTCTTAGTCAATACACGTAGCTGCTCCTCTATGGCTGATTGAGAGGATTGTTCCTTCGGAAAGCCGTCAGGGCTGTGTTTCAAGGTCTCCACCAGGGTCTCCCTACTGCCACCTTGGGATGTTGATGTGCCGTTTCTGGTGTTCTTTTTGGGGTGCCATGTGAAGTGAGCGCCACTCTTCCCTAGTGGAGTATAATATGGGTGATAGAGATTAGAGGCGATCGGTCGTTGACCTCTAGGAAGATGGTGGGCACTTCAATGGCCTAAGATCACCAGAGGTGGAAGAGGAGAAGACCAAGGCAGGCTTAGAGAGGAAAGGAATGGCAGTGAGAGACCTTGAACACTTAGTGTATGTTATGTGATTCTTGTTGCTCTTGTTGTGTTGTTGTAGCTGCACTTATGATGCCGTTATATGGATTCTAGGAGTATTGGAGCCCAAGCAACCTCCAAACAAGTGGCAAATTCTCCTCGACTCGATAGGAGGGTGATATCAGTCCTTTGAGCTGTGTCCTATGATTCAGGTCCTTGGGAAGGTTGCATCATAGGAGCTGCAGGTGTACGTATGATATCTTGAGAGGCGTATCATCTGCGCATCAGATGTAAGTGTAAGGTCTACATCTCTTTCTCTAAGCTAGGCCAAAGGGGGAGCTGTCACTGCAGGGAGACAGCTATACGACCTTGACGATCTCGAGGTCTTAGCCTCCAATCCACAATCCTCCAAGGATCCCAAACGGGAGTGCCTAGGTCTTGCTCCCAACCTAGGCAGCTCAGGGGGTGAGTGCATGGGTGAGCCAAGGGCTCATTCTGAGCAGCTAAGTAAACATAGGAGAGCCAAACATAGGTGAGCCAAGAGTTCAACTATTTTGCTATGGAGCTGGGGTGAGCGGGTAGAGAATATATTTCTTGAGTTATGAAGGGCCATGGAGAGCTCTAGGTAAGCCAGCTCTATCAAAGTGAGCTGTGGCCCTGTTTTCATACTTGGTGGTGTGCATGCCCCCGCTTATGCTAGGCATACGACCCCAACTCATTGTGGTGCCTAGGGGTCTGCTACGTAGATGTGTGATGGTACTCATCATGGTGCCTCAGGGGTCTGTCACGTGTATGTATGATGGTGATGACGTGACACCCGTAGGGCTCGCCACATGCAAAGCATAATATAGATACCCACATCTTCCAATTCCCATTTCTTTCTGTCCCCTTTATTTCCATGCTTTTCATATCCGTTGATAGCATCATGTTTTCTTTATTATAATCCTTATTCTTCCATCCATGTTTCATGCATTTGGATTCGACTCATTTACATTTATGGACTCTATCATTTCCTATGTGATTTTGTGTGCTACCTCATGCTTTGAGATGACTCACATGTTATACATTAGTAGCCAAATATATAGTTGCATTCTCGTGTATGTATCGCATTAGTATTTTGCATGTAGGACCATGCATATTTTGCTTACTCTTTTCTTCATCTTTTTGTTGGATGCAAGTAAATACTAGGTGAACATTTATAGTTTTAGCATCCTGCTTGTACATGATTTTCTTATTATGTTTAGCATTTTACCATGCGTCTAATTGCTTAAGTGATTTATCTCTATGATTGTCGGTGGATGGAGGTTGTGTCGTTTAAATTGGAATGATATTGATTTTTATGCACGTGAGCTCATTTTCCCTCGAGCTGTACATTTTTCAAAACTCTTTTAAAATGTATGAAATCAAAACGTTCCGAGTTGAATGGTAGTCTATGCCTGATTGCTTCAAATAATAAATTTTAGCATTAATAATAATCGGAATATGAGCCATATATTGTTTATAAAACTCGTAGGAATATGAGCCATATATTGTTTATAAAACTCATATTATGGTTTAGTAGAGACCGATCCTTTGATTGGGTGAGTAGAGTGCTCAATTCATGACCTTCTCCCCTCATACCTAAGGTCCCGAACTGAGACATCTTTGGTTGTAAGGGACAGTGGCCTTTGGCATGAGTCATGGGTTTCCTAGTTTTTCCAAAAGATTAGGTGGCGACTCTGTGATCTGGTGCAACCCATTTCTAGCACATTTTGTGATTAATGGATTTTCTATAGATTTGCCGGATATGGACTCTCATTTATGTTTCTCGTTGCACTCGTGAGACTAGATCGAAATCGGGAGTTTAAACTGTTGGGCGCGCTCGGTTACCCCTAGGACATTCTATACAGAGTAATAGGCTTGGGCAAGTCATCATCCTTAATCAACGAAGTGCAGCACGTCATCCTTAACTGTTGACAAATAACTAGAGAATAACAGTACCAAAGAAGAACTTGAACAGGACAACAAAATCAAAGCACAACCAAGAACTACGAAGTTCACCCAACCAATCAGCCACAGTAGGACAAGAAGACACACAACAACATGAGGCATTAGAAACACTCAGAATAGAAAACTATTACTCTTTCAAGCTTCCAAACAAGAATAGAGGGCTAATCCAGTCAAAAGTGGAACAAACTCACCATTAGTTCATCAAACAAACACCAAAGAAGACCTTATAAGTGCAAGTTGGCACCTAGAGAGGGGATTCCAACAACCAAAAACAATCAAAAGGGCCACAATCGTGATTCAAAAAAATAGGCCACAAAAATTACGAAAATCATTCAAAATTCACAAACTAACATCAAATGACTTCAATTAATTTTGTAAAAATCATCATAGATACCAAGAGGCAAAACCAAGTCACACCATGTGTTTTTCGGATCACAGCGCCTGTACAAACCTGACGTCACACTAACGTCATCATACGGATGATGATCTCAGCACGTCACCTTCACCTAGTGATGAGCTCCAGAGTCTGTTGAATGCTTGCTTGAGTAGAATTGAGTGCTGTGATACCAAGTTGAAGTGCAAAGTATGTACAAATTAGGGTTGGGGTTAGAGGGAGAGAGGAGAAGTACGAAGAGTACGGCAATGATAGGTTTAGGGTGATTGATTCAACCCTTCACCTCAGCATGCGTTTATACAATATGACAACATAACAATAGTATCCCTCATTATAGAATTAAATTGCACACATACGCAACACACGACTACGCTAACATATATTAAGCAATCTGACATGTATTATAGTAGGTTGGCCATTGGTTTTTCTTATGATTTCACCATTGACAAACTATGGAAATTGTTGTTGTTTAATTGCACATGCACCACGAGTTTAGTAACAATTCATTCTTGTAATTTGATAGGACTCTTGTGCTTGCTTGGAATGGGCTCTACTAATGGTTTAGTGAGTGCACAGGGAAAGCAACCAATTTTTTCCTTTGGAGTTATATCAGACGTCCAGTATGCTGACCAGCCTGTTCGCCGTTCATTTGCTGGTGTTCTTCGGTATTATCGACACAGCATTTGTGTGTTGCAAAGGGCAATCCATAAATGGAATGAGATACAGAAACTTAAATTTGTGGTCAATTTTGGGGACATTGTTGATGGTTGTTGCCCCAAAGATCAATCTCTTAATGCTGTTAAGCTTCTTGTTGATGAATTTGAGACTTTCAAAGGCACTATCTATCACATGATTGGAAATCACTGCCTGTACAATCTTCCTCGTGACATGTTACTTCCATTATTGAAAATTCCTAGTCTAAATGGTCATGCATACTATGATTTTTGTCCAATCTCGGAATACAGATTTGTAGTCCTTGATGGCTATGATATTAGTGCCATTGGTTGGCCTCAAGATCATCCAAACACTATTGAGGCATTAAAATTTCTTAGGGAGAAAAATCCCAATTCAGAAAAAAACAGTCCAGAAGGGCTGATGGGCCTGGAGAGAAGGTTTCTCAAGTTCAATGGAGCGGTTGGAAAAGAACAATTAAAATGGTTGGATGGAGTGCTTGAGGATGCAACAAAGTCGAACCAAAAAGTTGTACTCTGCTGCCATGTGCCTTTAGATCCTGGTACAACGTCCCAAGAAGCACTTTTGTGGAATTATGACGAAGTAATGGATGTGGTACATAGATATAGTTGTGTCAAGGTTTGCCTGGCTGGACATGATCACACAGGCGGACACTCAATAGACTCACATGGGGTACACCATCATGTATTTGAAGCGGCGTTGGAGTGCCCTCCCGGAACGGATGCATTTGGATATATAGATGTTTTTGATGATAGGTTACTGCTTATTGGAACTGATCGAATGAAGAGCACTGAAATGATTTTCACTCCTTAAGCATGCCAGATAATATCATCCTGCAGAATCTCCACCTCTTCTTCTTCTTCTTTCTTTCTTTTAAATGATAATCTACAACTTGTTCTTTTTTTCAATTTGATTTAGAGGAAAGTGTCCAAGGCTTTGAATGGATATCAATATTGAAATGGGTTTCCTCGCTAGGAGTTGAAATTAACAGCTAAAAAGCTATAAGCAATAATATGCAATTTCAGTGCGCTAGATGTTTTATGACTTCAATTCTTACTTGTAATATTGCAATGGCTACCTCTGTCCTTGAAGTTTGCGGTGGAGCATCAGTTATGTATGCCTTATTGTTTGGAGTCAGTCTTATATAAGCCTTGTATAGTATTTAAAGCATTGATGCTTGTGTATCATGCATTGCTACTTAATTTTTGTTGAACAAGCTCTTACTTTTGAGATTCCAAATTTGGATAGTGATTTTGGCTTTTCATTTTCTTTCTCCATGTTGGATGTATTAGATGTTGATGGAAAATCAGTACCTGCAGTTGACACTCTCTTACATTGGCAACCAAAGAAAGTGAGAAAGTGACCAAACGGCATAATATATAGGTCATGGGCCCACTAATTTTCAATTGGTTATGGTTGCTGATGGTAACCATGGCCATTTAGTAATGGAATTGTTAAATTAAACATGAAACTATGTACAGATAGATTTGCCTTGTTTAAATATCAAATTGTTCATTGGTACAATTAGTTTTGACCATCTTGTTGCAAAGGAAAAAATTTATATAGAGACTATATAGATCTCGTCACTCCAAACATTACTTTGATTCTCTAAGAGCTTTTGATGGAATTGTATTGATTTTTTAGTTATATTTAGTCGAGGTGCGCGTAAGCTGGTCTGGACATCCAATTATCAAAAAAAAGAAAGAAAAAAAAAGAAGGTTCTATGTCTATGTCAACTCCCTTATGGCACCTTTCCCACATTAGGCCGTATTAGCCATGGAAAACTATAGAGCACCTTATGTCACATAAGAAAAGTAAAGCTAAGACCAACAAATAAAACCTACATGTAAGTTCCACATATACCATTCAAATTACAATCTTCTTTTCTTCACTTCTGCGGGGACAACTTTGCCTTTCTCTTCTCCGTGTACAAGAACTTAAGCCAAGTTTGACATGATTGAAAAAAGACAAAAAGTCAAAAAGTCACTATCCTATTTAAGTCACATCATCTTATTTAAGTCACATCACCTCTCTAACACATCACTTCAAACCCAACCCAAACACAATCCATATTTAATAAAAAGTCAAAAAGTGTACTTATTTAGTCTTCCCAAACTAGGCCTTAATATGTACTAACAAGAATCTATAAGCGGTAATATGCAATTTCAGTCTGCTGGATGGCTTGTTACTTCAATTCTTACATGTAATACTGCAATGGCTATTTGGAGTCAGTTTTATATAAGCCTTGTAGAGTACTTAAAACATTGATGCTTGTATATCATGCATTGCTACTTAGTTTTTGTTGTACAAGCTCTTACTTTTGAGATTCCAAATCTGGATAGTGATTTTGGCTTTTCTTTTTTTATCACCATGTTGGATGTATTAGATGTTGATGGAAAACCATTAGCTGCAGTTCTCTCTTAAATTGGCAATCAAAGTGAGAAAGTGACCGAACAACATAATATATAGGTTATGGGCCCACTAATTTTCAATTGGTTGCGGTTGCTGTCGGTAACCATGGGCATTTACCAATGGAATGGTTAAATTTTGACACCTTGTACAGATAGATTTGCCTCATTTAAATGCCAAACTGTTCTTTGGTACTATTAGTTTTGACCATCTTGCTCCAAAAGAAAAATATCTATATAGAGACTATAGATCTTGTCACTGCAAGCATTACTTTGATCTCCTAAGGGCTTCTAATGGAATTTTGTTGATTTTTAAGTTATATTTATAAAATGATTAAAGGCCAATGTAACTCAATACCGAAAGGCTAATGGAGGTCATTTTGATCATGTTAGCCACAATTTAACCACAAAGAGAAGAAAATCTCATTAAAAATAAAAATAAAAAATCACATATATCTCTCTAGTAGTCTTGGGAAGTGAGAATATTGACAAAAACGCATTGGACATCAATGATAATGGAGAACATTTTACTTGGACTTTCACAACAAAAAAACAAAGATGATGACCCCAATCTACCATTGAACCGTACATTACATACATGTCTATGTCTATGTCAACTCCCGTAAAGCACCTTCCCCACAATAGGTCTTATTAGCCATGGAAAACTATAGAGCCCCTTATGTCACATAAGAAAAAGTAAATCTAAAGAAAAACTACATGCTAGTTCCACATACAATTCAAATTACATTCTATTTGTCACTTCTGCTGGGACAACTTTGCCTTTCTCTTCTCCATGTACAAGAACTTAATATGTACTAACGGAAAGAATAAGTAATAATATGCAATTTCAGTCTGTTGGATGTCTTGTGACTTCAATTCTTACATGTAATAATGCAATGGCTACCTCTGTCCTTAAAGTTTGCGATGGAAAATCAGTTACGTATGCCTTATTATTTGGAGTCAGTCTTGTATAAGCCTTGTATAGTATTTAAAGCATTGATGCTTGTATATCATGCATTGCAAGTTAGTTCTTGTTGTACGAGCTCTTACTTTTCAGACTCCAAATTTGGATAGTGATTTTTGCTTTTCATTTTTTATCACCATGTTGGATGTATTAGATGTTGATGGAAACCCATTGGCTGTAGTTGACCCTCTCTTGCATTCGCAATCAAGCAAAGTAAGAAAGTGACCGAATGGCATAATATATAGGTTATGTGCACACTACTTTTCAACTGGTTGCGGTTGCTGAAGGTAACCATGGGCATGTACTAATGGAATGGTTAAATTAAACATGACACTATGTACAGAGATTTGCTTCCTTTAAATGTCAAATTGTTCTTTGGTACTACCAGTTTTGACCATCTGGCTGCAAAGGAAAAAAATATATAGAGAGACTATACAGATCTTGTCACTCCAAACATTTTTTTGATCTCCCAAGGGCTTCTAATGGGGTTGTGTTGTTTTTTTAGTTATATTTATACAATGATCAAGGCTAATGTAACTCAATACCGAAAAGCTAATGTAGGTCATTTTGATAATCTTGGCCACAAGGCATATATCTCTCTAGTAGTCCTGGGAAGTGAGAAGATTGACAAAAACGCTGTGGACATCAATGATAGTGGAGAAACATTTTACTTCTGATTTTCTCACAAAACAAACAAAGATGATGACCCCAATCTTCCGTTGAACCATACATTACATGTCGATGTCTATGCGAATGTATAACACCTTCCCCACATTAGGACTTATTTGCTATGGAAAACTATAGAGCACCTTATGCTACATAAGAAAAGTAAAACTAAGACCAACAAATAAAAACTACATGTAAGTTCCACATATATAATTCAAATTACAATATTCTTTTCTTCACGTCTGCTGGGACAACTTTGCCTTTCTCTTCTCCATGTAGAAGAACCCAATCAAGGACACAATAGAGAAGGCAGAGAAGCAGGCTGATGCAATGTCAAGCGAGGCGTGGCGGCCAGTGATTGCTTGGATCTCAAACAAGTTTGTGGTCTTGTGAGCATCTGTGGTTTGGCCATAGGCAGCCTCAACACCATTAGAGTCGTAGGCATAGGCCCTCACAAAGTAAATGGCAGTCGGGATGTCCTTCTCAACTGTCCAAGTGGTTGAGAAGTTGCTGGAGGGGCTATATGGTTGAACAACCACCTTGAACTGGCAGGTCTTGTCCTTCATAAGGTTGTCCACTGTCTTCCTCCAAGCACGGTCTACTTGGCTGATGGGTGCATAGCAGAGCTTGACCGTCACGGTCTTGTAGGATGAGTCTGTCCCTGCTGGGAAGGTCTGGTCATATGACCATGTCACAGTCAGTTGGTCTTGCCCAGCTTTCAGCACTACAAGGTTCATTTACAATCAGAGTATTCACCAACCATATATACTTTTACCGAAACTGCAAAATTTGAACTAGTTTAAACTGCATTATTTTCTGGGAAAAAACTTTCATTTCTAAGGTGTGTACATCAGTACTTTGTATCATAGTGCCTTTGTTTAAACCTTTTGTTCTGGGCATCTGTTAGAACTTCAATTTGGATCATCCACTTCATGATGATCATAGGTTTAGGGCCTCAGCTTCTGGAAAATTAATTAGAAGTTGGTGAGAAAAAGGGGGTAAATTACATTTTTAACCCCTATAATTTGACTTCAATTTTATTTTAATTCTTATTGTTTGAAATTGAACAATTTGATCAATACACGGTAAGTTTAGATCCAATTTAATCTTTCCATTCAAGTTAGAGATTAAAATTAATAATTTTTAGACACTTGTCAATCTTTTGAACTATACACGTAGAAAAAATTAATAAAAATTTGGGCAGAATAACTAACTTGAAATTAAATTTAAAGTGTAATAATTAAATTGTTCAAATTAAAACAATTACAATCAAAATGGAATATACGTCAAACTATAAAAAAGAAAAATATAATTTAACCTTAAGAAACAGCAGCTAAAACAACCACTCTCACAGCCTCACTCAATTATGATATTCTTTCTCTTCTAACTTATTTAAATTATTTTTACAAAATAAACTTTTGTGTAGAAACTGCAGAAGTCTTGACATATATTTAAAGAAAAAAAAGAAAGCAATAAATGGTTGGATAAATTGCACCAAATAGGGATTTGAATAGTTTCTATTACATGAATGGAATAAAGATATTGATTCGCAGACTAGTGATTTTGGTTTTTATCCATTAGAATGGGGAAGATTTTATTCCAAATGTAACAGCAAGAGCATCAATTTGCCAAACAAACGGGGTGTCAGTTTCAAATCAATTTGATAAGTTTGTGATGATAATTGCTTGTACCAATATAAATTTATTGTATGCAAAGTGGTACCGCGCTGGCACGCATATTTGGTGCCTTCCACTAATAACAATTCAACAGCCGAGTTAGTGAAGGCAGAGTTCTGTCACATAATAACTTTTTTACCTTACATATAGAAAAGTACAAAAATAATTTGATATAATGACCAAAAAAAAAATGCTATTTTAGTAGCATCTCAAAATTATGCAGTATTTAATTGAGAAATTTAAAAAAATAAACAAAAAAAGAGAAAAAAGTTATGAAATTAAGTAAAATATAAATTTATTTTATTCACATTTCACTTGTTTTCTCTTTTTTTTTTTTTTCTTTCTAAATCTTCCAACTAAACACAGTATAATCTAGTGAAAAATTGTTCAACCCAACACCCCTGTTATTGAATTATGTTAGTGCCGCAAATATATTTATACGATCTTTTTCATGATCTAGGTTCTAAATTAAAGTAATGTCTTTGTGAAATGATTTTGTGGTGGAAGAGATCAAATCAAATTATTATTTTTTTTTTTACAGAAAAATTCTCCCACTCTCCTGCTGGCTCATGACAGCGCCTCTTACAAAGATTATCAAGATGTCCGGTTATCCCTCCCGAGTTAGGAGACTATAACTTGATAATTTATTCAAACCTTTCAAGACAAGTTTTTTTTAAGTTAAAACTCGCGCAACAGAAAAGTATTTGACCCACATCAAAGTGTGGTGATAACAATCAAACTACTTTCATGGAAGCTGAGAAGAGATGATTTTGTGAAGGGAGAAGAGTACCAGCGAAAGTGGGTTTCTTGGGAAATAAGAGGGAGGGAGACAGAAAAAGTATTGTTGGATTTCATGAGTTGTGTATGTAATAAATTTGAAAAATGAAATTTGTGTGATTCGAATGGTTCTAATGTATGAAAATTCAAATTATCAAACATTATTAAATAAATTTTTGACTTTCTCTGTCAAAGGGAGCTGTTGTCTTCTAGTGATTTGCTAAAGGTACCACATCAATTATAGCATCTTCATCAGAGCTAGATTCAAAGTAATATATATATTGAGAGAGAAAGAGAGAGATGGGATTACATACCTTGTCCTGTTGTGGGAGAAGCGGTGACCAAAAGAGTTCTTTGAAGGGAAGAGAAAGTGACGCCATAGCAGGCCTCAGGGAAGAAAGAGAGGAGAAGAAGTGAAGAAGCCACAAGAAAACAACCAAAGGCCATTGACAAAGTTGTATATGAGCCCAATATGATGCTTACTACGATGCTGCTGCTACTTCTGATGATGATAAATAGAATAGATAGAGGGATGCGATGGAATCAGGATTTCTACTTGGTTTGCTTTATATAGACAAGGAAGGAAGGAAAGATGTTAGGGGCATGTAAAACCACAAATAGTCAACGCATATCCAACTCACAGGATTTTGCAGATTATCCAGTGATTCCTACATATTACAACAATGGAAATATTTCTTTTATAAGATGGGAATACCGTCTTTAAAGTATATTGAAGGGGTGGGGTCAAATATGATAGGATGATGCTGGTCACTGGTCCGAAATCGTACTGTAGCGTATTGTTAGATATGTGGAGTTCATCATTAGTTTAATTTTAATAATCTAAATTGTTTAACGTCTACGACTGGTTGAGTATTTCATCTTTATAAAAAATCATTTTAATCGGATGTCGATAGTCACTTGATCAGATCATATTTTTATCAATAATACATATGATTTTTAAAAATAAATTGTTGACAAAATGTGTTCTGATTAAGTGGCTATCGATAACCGATCAATGTGATTTTTAGCAAGGATGAAGTAGTCGACGAGTTTTACGTATTGAACAGTTCGGATCATCAAAATTAAATCTGTAGTAGGCCCTACAAGTCCAAACAATATTGTCTCGTCTACAAAGTAGGCTAGAGACAATCTGTATCCTACATGATATTCATACAAATTAAAGATGAGGTATTAATATTTTTGTATATCCTATATGATATTCATACAAATTAAAGATGAGGTATTAATAGATTTGTAAGTTTGTTTAGGGTGTGCTGTATAAGCATATTTTATCTTTTTTGAGTTATATTATTTTTTTATTTTTTTGTACATTTTTTTATAAAAATTTAAAATGTATATTTATTTAGATCATCAAAAAAATGTTATTTAATGAGTATTTTGTATTTAAAAATCAGAAATGCTTTGGAGCTCTGAAAAGAGATCCACTTATGATGTGATATTTTGGTTTTTTTTTTTTTTTCAATGTCACATGTATAAAGCTTTATACCTAGAGCTCTCAATCACTAACCTACACCAAAAAATAAAATAAAAATAAAAAATAATAATTTCTTATTAGGCTTTTTTTTGTTTGGCATATCAGCACTTGGAATGAAAAATTGGATTTCATACCATAAATTCAATTTTCAAAATTATTTGGCAATGCCTTCAAGTGCTAAACTCTTAAGAGCATCTTTATTGAACTAGTTAAAATTTTGTCATATTTTAGTTTAAAAGTTATTTATTTTAAATTTTGGCTATACTTTTTTTTTTTGGGGAAAATTTACAAAAAAAAAAAAAAAAGAAAAAAAAAATTCTAAAGCTTATTATAACAAATTAAATCCTAAACTTTCAATTTCTTCAATTTAAATCCTGAATTTTGAAATTAGATACAATTTGAACTTTCCTTTTATTCCTATTAATTGATTTAATAGAAAAAGGAAAAAATAAAAATAAAAATAAAAAACAAAATAGGTGTAATTTTTTCACTTGTTCTTGTAAGTCTTAGGGATTGTTTGGTAATGCATCAAATAAGTATACTTATTTAGATTATATCATTTTTTTACTTTTTTTTACACATTTTTTTATAAAAAAAATAAAAAAATATACTAAATAAACAAACCCCAAACAACTCTTTAGTTTTCAACTTGACTACTCTAAGTTATTATCACAATTGTTATGAACATCACCTTGATCAAAAGCCTCCATTGTCACCGGTACAAGTGATTGACAATAGATAGATACAGACGGTCATTTTGCCTTGCTTTTGCTCCGCCCCTAAATCCCCTGTCTCGTCCAACACGAATTTTACCCGTCCTGATTAAAAAGTGCGGCGGAAACGGATTTTGTTTCTCCCATCCTATTACATTCGAATCTTCCTCATTATATTTATAATTTATTTATTTTTCATTATAATAAAAGTTAAAACATTAAAATATTATATTTTATATTAATTTTTATTTATTTATTTATTTTCTTATATAATATAATTTTCATTAAGTATAAATTATTATTCATAATATATTATATTATCTATGATTTTTATTTTTCAACTTATAAAATTAAACCGCCTCCTGCCTGCCCCACTTCTGTCACACCCTGATTTGCCCCACTCCCAATATGATACAGGGCGTGAGCAGATTTCAATTAACTTGCTCCAAACCTGACTGTGACCATCCCTAATTATAAAACAAAAAGTATAAAAATTTATTTCTATTGCATTACAATTTAACAAAATTTAGATTACAAATATATATATATATATATGTAAAATAGTTGAACTTCAATTAGTTGAATTAAATCTTTACTTTTTTGATTACCAATGCTATAATAACTAAAATTAATTGGGGGTAAGGATGAAAATTTTTGACACAATTTAAGCAATATATAAAATTAACAAGTTAGGGTCGACTATTTTTCAACATGAATCCAAGTATGAGACGACTCAATAACATGAATTATTGGTTATATATTTTAACGTTCACTAAGGGATGACATGACGTCTTTTTAATATTTTATTTAACTCTATCTGACTGAATAAAAAAGTATGCAAAATAATAATTACGACTACTATCTTTTTTTCATTTAAGATATGTATTTTTTTATTACTTATTTTAGAGTCAATCTAGTAAAAAAAAATATAGTAATAAGGCATAATGTTTTTAATTAGAAAAACGTAATTAAATTAAAATCAAATATTCTATAAGTAATTTCATTTAGTAGAAATAAATTTTATAAAATTCAACTTATGGAAAAAAATTTAATCTCTCCATACACTTGCTAAGTTATTTTTAACTAAAAGTGAAAGTTTTCACATTAGACATCAATCGGACATGAATCAAAATAACACTATATGACAACATGAAAATAAATAAATTGAGATACTATTGAATTAATTATGAAAGAATACGACATAATATACTCTCTAATCAAGAACTTTAAATTTTGTTCAAAATTGAAAGTCCGAGACGACCGCCTTAGTTGCCTCACCTCAAGGCCGGCCCTGCATGCACCCTACTCCTTTCCTCCCCCACAGCCTTTTCACCTCCTCCAGTGGCACCGCCCTTATCTCTGTCAACTCAAAATCAATCGAATTCGCTTTCAAAGCCTAGACCTCGAACCCTATCTGCTTTGTGGGGTCCTTGGGGGGATCGATCTTCGACATTAATATAGAGAAGACATTTTGATGAATTTCATGATAGTGGATGAGGTGAATGGTGCCTAGATTCTAGTGGGATGGAGAAGGCGAGAGATTAGGATGACGTTCTATTGACTACATATTTTGTATAAACTAATTACAATTCAACACGTGGTAGAATAAGGGCAATACGGGAAGACTATTCAAGTCTTCGATTGTGATCGTACACGTGGTAGTTAGTATTGGTTCTTACAAGATTTGCGTAGCACTGGATCAGCAAAGAGATGCAAAGTGATGAGACTTCAACGGTTACTCACATTCAAATTCAAAATTAGGAGGGAAGCCTAACTGCAGGTAATGGCATAGTGGAACTAACTATAAGGCAACATGATCAGCGATCATAGAGGAGCGATTCGACGGTTAGAAGTGCAGTTCGATGGTCATCCTTGAGAAGTATAAATAGCAAAGAAGGCCCTAGAAAAATCCTCAGACTCAGATTCAAAAAACCGTTTTTATCTACTTTATTTTCTTTCCAGTTTTACATTTCCTGTTCTTTGTATTTCTGTGCTTTAAAATTCCTACGCTGCACTTCGTTCATAGGAATAGTTTCAAGTAAATTGTTGCTGTAAACCTCTATGAGGCTGAATTAGATCATTGTAAGTCTTTCGTTTTACTTAATGAAATACTGCAATTGTTCTTCATTTAATCATTGTCAGTTTATTCCTCCTAAGTAAAGCCACCAGTAAAAGTCTTCTTCATTGAGACTGAAAGAACTAAAACACAATTGTCTGATAATTAGTTGGCAATTAAATTTCTGTAAGGACTGATTGATCCTTGTTGACACGCTCAAAATTACTGTAATAACCTTCGAAAGCCAAAAAAGCCAATATATATTTTTGGCACGCCCAATGGGACTAATTGAAATGGCTAGACGTAGGAGACAAGGAGAAAATAAATGCTTGGAAGAAAGTGTGGAAGGAGAGGTAGAAATGTTTAATCCAGAGGATAATGTGATAACACATCCTGTAGAAACACCCACTTTATCAGAACCTACAGTTGAACAGACTAGCACTTCGGAACAAGTACCACATATTCATAATATTGGATGAGGCCAAGGAATTGGACCATCCACTGTTCTATCTACTCAACCAATAAATCTATGGGGTGGCCTAGTAGATGCCATGGGACAGTAATTAATGAACACAATAGAAAGGTAGGCAACATCCTTTTTGGATCGAATGAATACCCACTAACCAACAAATGCAAGGCATATAGAGGAAAATTCAAATGCCCATCAACAAAGATTGGCTAGAGATAAACAGCCTATGTAGAGTAATGGGCATACTAATGGTCAAACTAGTAGCCAAAATCATGAAAGACCACCACCTTAGTCTTGGTATGAGCCTCTTTCGAGGCCTATGGCAAATCAAAATGCTTCATTACTCAACAGTGAAGCTATGCAAATTGGTAGATCTGGCCCAACACAGGATAATGGTGTAAGGGTGGTCCAAAATCCCATGTTCGAAGCCATACCTGGCACGAGGGGGTTCATTAATCCTTTGTTCGAATTTATACCCAGGGGGTTGGAAGGTTTTCCTACAACTGGAAGAGACACAACACCTGTTCCAGCGCCTTTCGCAGGTCCTTTTGTAGGACAGGCTCAAAGGGGTCACCCATATCCCCAACAGCAGCCAGCGCCATAGGGACAACCAGTCCCAAACATACCACCCTATGGACCAAGAGGACCCCAAGCACAAGGTTGTCTACCAAATCCTGTGTTTGTTCCTCCGGTAGTGGTTCAACAAGCACAAAATATGGTCCCCAGGTACCAAATTGTTGATATTATTAGAGAGATGTGTGAACCAATGGCTCGGGGGTTCAAACTCCTGTGTACAGGAAGCCATATCCATAATGGGTAGATAGGGTACATGAATACCCAAGGGGGTTTAGGATACCCGACTTCGCTCTTTTTTATAGGAATGGAAACCAGTCAATGGTTGAACATATTGCTAGGTTCGCTGCTCAGTGTGGTGAATT